ACGGGACTCCCTAATTTGGTAACTTCATCTATTCAGACTGATAAGAAACAAAAAGAAGCCAAATATAAATTTGGCTATTGAATATAAATTCATCCATTGGATATTTATTTAGTAGCTTCCAGGTCCCAGCCAATACTCTTAAGAACTTACAATCCTACTGGGGGAGACAGACACATAAACATGATTATAGCACAATATAAGTAAAGTGCCTGTTAAAATTGTGGCGGGAATAAAGTGCGATAGGTGCAGAGATGACGAAGAGAGTATAAATCTATGGGAAACCTTTACAGTCAAGGAGATTCTTGAGTCATTTTGCATGATGAATGAGTCTTGAAATATACTATATCACATAGTCCCATGTATTTCACTTATGAAAGGGGAATCATCCACAATGTAGTGGGGCACTTTACATCACATTTAATTCTCACGACAGCTCTGTTATTATTCCCAATTTACAGATGAGGAAATCCAAGCTAAAACAAGTGACTTACTTATCCAAGGTTCTGTAGTACATTAATAAAAGAGAGAATTTGAGCCCAGTCTGTTATCTGACTCCAGTACCCATTTACTTACCACTATATTACAGCTCTTTGACCCTGTACTCCCCAGAGCCTAATTACTTTTTTCACAGTAACTCAAGAAAATTGGTTATCTGGTTTCCCATTTTAACACAAATAAGCAGCAAAACGAAAGGTTAAAGAAACCAAAGTGAAATATACCAACAGCAAAAAACAGAATTGAACACAAACACAAAAATTCAAAAAACATGGATCATATAGTTTTATACACTCCACCCTCAGCTATGCAACAGTACTTGATGTGCACAATGATGACCTCATTACAAAAAAGAAAAAAAAGCCCGGCCGGCATAGCTCAGCGGATGAGCATCAACCTATGATGGAGAAGATGGCGGTTCGATTCCAGGTCAGGGCACATGCCCAGGTTGCAGGCGTGATCCCCAGTAGGTGGCGTGCAGGAGGCAGCCGATCAATGACTCTCTCATCATTGATGTTTCTTTCTGTCTGTCTCTCTCTGTCTCTCTCTGTCTCTCCTTTCCTCTCTCTGAAATCAATAAAGATATATATGTGTGTGTATATATATAAGTTAAAAAAAAGGTGGTTGTAGTCACAACAGTCTATGAAATAGAGAAATAACTTTTGATGCTTAAAAGGGTAAACTTCATGTATCTAGAAAACTTTCCTCTCTGGTAACTCTGGATAAATGAATTGTAATCATTATTTCCAAAGTGTTTGTAAGAAGAAATATCCCAAGATGTGAAGAGTCTTCATTTTATAGACATGATTTTTCTGTTGCTTTAAAATGAATTCAAGTCAGAAGAGAAAAACTGTCAATCTTAATTTCCATATATATCCAAGTAAACTATAAATTTTTAAAACTCACACTATGACTTTGAACAACATATGTGGATTGAGTAATTTAGATCGACAAGCACAGAGGGTTACTGAGTATTCTTAATATCTAAAAATAACCTCTCTTAAAAAAAGAACCCTTTCAATAAATCTACTAAAATGGTATAAATTGATTATGTACAAAACAGGAGGAAAACTATGTTTAACCTGTTGCACTCAATTTAAACAGGAATGTATGTGAAAATGAAAAGAAACAAACAACTTAAGCAAATACAGAGAAAGTTGGCTGAGTAATTTACCATAGTGTCTCTACCATACACTCCACCTGAATCCAAATTTTAAATCTGAAGATGTCAGCTTTTATAACATAAGCTTTCATTATTTTATGTAATTCTTTTTTTGAAACAAAAGAAAGGCTGCATTTAGAGAACAGACCCTAGATTTTTTGTTTTGTTTTTAAGAACAAGAGAAAATTGTTTCACCAATTATCTTGAAAAAGCTGACAAGGAAACATTTAATGTCCTTCATCATTTTAGAGACTTTAAATGTGAAACTGTCGACACAGAACAGTTTGTAACAATGTGAAAAGCATAGTGGCTACACTTTCCAACAACATGTAAAAATAAATATAAGGAAAAGCAAGTCTTTACTTGCAACTAACTGTAACTTTCACGTATTTTTTTCCAGGAGGAATGTAGTTTCTGTGAAAACTCTCTAGAAAGACAATACTTGTTTACTTATATTTGAAAATTACTTTTACTTTAGCTCGTCTTGTACAATTTTGGCCCCAAATTCAATGTTTTACAGAACACTCCAAATTTAAGATGTAGAGTGAATTCATGAGTTCATATAATAACCTATTTGAAGTAAACACAAAGTGAATTTAAGCAAGTAAAATTTCACTATACTTTATAGACAGTTGAAATTACAATGCTCTTCCTTACCTGGACGCTCTTCAAAATAAGCTCACTTTTCTCTCTTACATCTTTAAAGGGACACCTCTTAGAAAGCATAAGCAGATGAGCAAGAAGCTTATTCAACCCATCCAAGGAAACAGCATTTGAAAGCCCGTCGGATGAACGAAAAGGTGTCTCTTTCACCGAACGAAGATACTCAGTTTTTCTCAAAATGATTTGCCTAATGTTTTCCAGTGCTGTCTCTCTAGTAGTTGAATCTCTACTGCACAGTCCATCCCATCTCACTTCATTCTCTCCTTCAGCCATGACAATTGGAGATTTTTCTTTGCAGTCTTCAGTTAACTTTCAGCATGTCCCCAAAAGCACCTTCTATTTTTTAAACGAGAAATGTAAGAATAAAATCAGAGAAATCGAATCTTCATGAAAACACACGTCTGGGTGACATCTGGAACCAGAGTCTTTTATACTGATGGCTTTCAAGCGATCTACAAGATAGAGCTCACCCTCTCCTTCTACGCGAAGGGGCGGTCTTCTGACCAGAGACTGAAAAACCTAAGTTGGAAAGTTGAAACCTTACAGTGCTGGCTTTGCTGGACAGGGAAGGGTTTGCCTCCGTCTTGCGGGGTCAGCGGATGTCCTCACGTTGTGGAGCTGTCAAATCCGTGCTCTGCCCAAAAAGGCTGGTAACAGTTGAACGCCCTCCAGCCATTCGGGGTTTTTTTGTCTCGCAGCCACGGGGTTCTCAGCAGCGCTCCCACCCCGCCCTCCTCCGGCACCAGTCCCCGCCCTCCGCAGCTCCT